TCAGAAGCCCTGGGGAAAACCCTGCAGCTTGCTTGTGTTTTTAACCCTTTATTCCGGAATTGTCACAGCTAAATGAGTTAACTGATGTTTGTAGACGTGCTTAGTACAGTGCTTAGATTTATCACTTATCCGTAGATGTAATTCTCATAACTCACTCTAAAAATGTTAGAAAGGGAGAATATTTATGGAATATTCTCAGGAAAAAAAATTTTAGGAAATTTAACCTGTCCCAATATATACAGAGCTAAGGCACTTACTTTGGGGGTAGCTGTAAAGGTTAGATGTCAGATATAACTTTTAAGTATAGTCAGATTTATTCATTTTTTATTTTAAGCCTTTTGGGTTTGTTGTATTTCAGAGAAAGAAAGGCCTTTCCAGTTCTGAGCTTCTTAAACATCGTTTTGTGGTTTCTGTTTTACTTTTCATGGATTCACTGTCTTTAATTAAATTTTGGAACTTTTGGGGATTTCTGCTTGTTTAAAGTTTGAGATTTGTATCCACCTTCAGTTTTTCCAGTTGGATACCCAGTTATTGCAAACTTTTTGTTGTGTAAACTTAGAGATTAGTCTTTCACTTCAAAGGAAATTATGATATGTCAGTTTATTGCGTACAGTTCAGAGAGTAAGAGATGAGGGGTTTCACTTACAGGACACAACGGATTTTGAGCTGTCTGGCCCAAAAGGTAGCAGCGAGGTGCTTCCTCAGCAACTTCCTGAAGCTGAACGTCAATTCCGTGGCCAAGAAATTGAGCTCCATCCCAGGAGAGATGCTCTTGGACCGATGACGTTGGTATTACAATGTGTGCATAGAGACGGAGGCCAAGCCCAGCGTTCAAACAAGGAAACTGAACCCTTGTCTCAGAGCAAACAAGGGAAAGTCAACAGATACATTGGAAAGCAGGCATTCTTGGAAAAGAGAGTATATGAGCTACAAAGTGAAAACATGTTGCTTCGACAGCAACTGGAAGTTGCTCAGAATGAAGCCAGAAGTAAAAAGACAATACTTAATATCCCAGAGCCGTTTCCTGATCACATGGGAAAACTTGAAGCCATGAGCAAACGAGTTCTGATGCTGGAGGAAGGAAACAAGGAATTAATCAGTGAATACAAATGTTTGAAAGACAGACTGTCTCAGTATGAAACTGACAGAGCAGAAATGAAAGTAAGTACCCAGAAGGAGTACTTCCTCAAAGAAAATTCAAAGTAGTATCTGATGAAAGCTAAACATTGAAACTAGTTGAATATAAAAAATGTGTGGGCTATAAGTATATACACTGCAAAGCAGCCTAAAAGCATATCTTGTATCCAGCAAACAAAAGTTAGGCCTGAGAGGTGCTTTGCTTTGAGAAAAGATGCCGTGTCACCTGAAATTCTAAGAGATTAAGCTAGAAGTTGTTGACAGATACAGGCAGGTCCTAGTAATTTACTCTTAAAGTGCCCAAATCATTTTAATGTCACCACATTTTAGTATCGTGATGAAGCAGATAAATGAAATGCTCAGACCTAAAATGAGTATTTTGAAATTAGGATTCAGTTGTGTGAACAAAAAAAAGTAAAAGAAAAAAGAAAGAGAAAAGATTCAATTGTGTGGATTATCTTGACAGTCAAATCCAGATTTCCGAGATGAACTGATGTGTAAATGCTGTATCTTGCAGTACTTTTCGCTCAGTAGCTTTTCACATACTTGTAATTTAGTTGATATAATTTCATTTTTATTCATGTCAATTGGAATTAAATTTAGAAATATTTCCATCTCAAATCATGTATTGTTCTGACCTCTTCACTCCTTAAAGGCATCTACTTTTCATTCAGTCATAATTTGGGGCAAATGTAAATTTCAGCAAAACTGTGTTTGACTTAGTCTCCCCTGTTCTATTTATAATTTACTTTGAATATTTTTTCAGACAATTTGCTCACAGTTCTCATTGCAAGGCTCAGTTACTGTCATTTGGCTCTAAGTTTGTCCAGTACAGAGGAACTGGAGCGCTCTGTGATGTATGAGTTTGGCAGTGGGGTCCCATTTTCAGACTGAGGAGGAGCAGCCAGAGTTCTGAGTGGCA